TTCATTTTTTAAAAAAACGTCACAACACATCAACTGAATTTTCATCATCCTCACACAAAAATATTTCATTATTATTATTAGTAGAGGATTTCATCTTGATTGTTGTGGGATCTATTTTATAAAACACGCCATTGTGTGTTGAATACTATTATATATTGTAATAAGAGTTAATATATTGTAATAACATAATATATTGTGTTTAACTTTTAAAATTACAAGACTAAATTGTAAAGCTACTAACTTGATATCTAACGCAATATATCATCATTAACATCAACATGAATGATACAAATATTATAATAGATTACAATAATAATAATACTATTGTTACAACAAGTAATACTTCTATATCAAGTAATAATTCAATAATATTATATTCAGATAATATATATGAATTAGGATCTAATAATGTTGTGGATTTATCGATATTCTTTGTTGGATTGTTTTTATGTTTAATAACTTTGATAATTTCATTTATAATTTGTTTAAATTCCCAAATTAGGACATGTTGTACTTACTGTAAAAGGAAAAGAGACATTAACAAATTAAAAAAACAAAAACTACCAATGAAAGCACTAACTTATTATGAAAATATTAAAGAATATAATGGAAGTTCTAAATTTTATTCAAATTCTCAACCAATTTTATTTTTAATTTCTTCAATTTCTTTAATTTTTTGGTACTTAGGAATTGGATTATATTATAATTTATTAAATATGAAATGGTTAGATGTTGAAATGGAAAATCAAACTGCTTCTTTAACAAGTAGAAGAGTTTATTGTATTTGCATCTATATTTGGCTAAATTATATTTTAGGTTCCTATTTATATTCAATTAATATATTTGGAAGAGTATTATCTTTATTTGTTTATAATATTCAATTTGGTAGAGATGAAAGAGTTAACACTTATAGAAAGAAACAATTAATATCATTATCAAGTATTTTAATTTTATCAAGTTTAGTAATTTGTATTGGAGTTGTAATTTCTATTTTTATTAAATTTAATACAAATGGATCAAAAACAGAAATGAATACAATTACCTGTAATAGAATGAATAGTATTGGTGAAGATATTGCAATTTCACAATACGATCCANATACTCTAGCACTAGTTGTGTTACAATATTTATTAATTGGTTTTATTTTCTTTATTTGGTGTTTAAGTTTCTTTGCTTC